AGCTTTGTCGATTCAGAGAGGAGTTACTACCTATTTTAACGATGAAACATCCTATAGGCAAAGAATATTCCTCTTTCAAAGTGCTAAGTGACAACTGAAAAAAAAATCAGTGCCTTAAAATAAAGGTTGAGTAATGAGTAGTTGAGAATAAACTCTAAAACATAAATTATATATTATTCTGATTAAAATTTGATACTAATATGTCATTTACTTCATATCGACGTATTTCGCATATGTAAGATGCCTAGCTGTATATTAATATTGTTAAACTGTGTTATTTGGTGCTCTCAACCATGAAACGGCAAACCATCTGTAACAGAGACGTGATTCCAGCCCTGAAATTCTAAAAAGAACGGAAAATGAATTACACGATTGTGGATAAAAGAAACAAGGAGGTAACCGTATGATTTCCAAGAAATCCAATTAAAATGCAACAGGTGCTCCAAATGACAATCAGGACAGAAACTAAGAAACCTCAAATCATGAATTCCATTAAGTAATTTTTTTATCACACCTGGCACGATATACGTTCGAAACCAAAAGTTTCTCTCGTTAAAAAACTAGCACTTTAGTAAGTGGCCATTCAAACTCAGCCGCAGTTAAAAATAATATTAACAGCTGAATAAGTATAAGCATGACCAACATTTTATGGACTCAGTGACTTTCCTAAATGAAGCTTTAAATCACGATGCAATAAACCATTCCCTTTATTTGACGTGTCTAACAGAAATTCAAGTTCCTCGAATTTTTTATCTTACAAGAAAAGGCTTTTGACTATGATCAACCACGTATCAAACAAATTTCTCGATCATTTACGTAGAACAGCTGCCATTTTAATCAGTTATTGTTGCCATCATCAGCCAAAGCTTACAAAACACAAACATCAGAGGATATCCAAATTTGTCACCTCACCTTTTGAAAGGCGCCACTTTTGACATGTTTAATTTATTATTCTAAATGTTCATTTCAGAACTTCAGAATCTTAATTCTTCTACTAGCCAACCACCACAGATTAAGCAAATCATGACAGTTAAAAAATTATAAAAATCTAATTTACATATTTGGGCAAACTGGGCAGCTGTTTCGCTCTTGCTTTCAAGCTTCAAATTCACGGTTGAATTTTCCCGAAGGCATTTTTGAACTTCCTCATTTTCAAGCCAAGAGAGGGCGCTGGCCGAAGCTTCATCGTTTCCTAAAATGTTCAAGACGTAATAAAAATAGTCGTCAACAACGAGAGAGAATACTTTACCTGACACGAAAACGACCAGAACCACCGACTTCTGCTTTGTTGTCGCAACGGCCTCATTAACCGATCCCGAAAACCACATTACTAATGAAAACGATTACCAACGTATAGTTGAGGATGCAGTGAACTGAGCACAGCAATCGGATAGTAGAATACGTTGCTATATGCAAGCTGCTTTAAAAACTATTATGAAAAGACAAATCAACAGGAGTAAAAATATTAAGCAGTAAATCATGCATACTACGCAATATCTGAAGCATATGATCAGCTCTATGCGGAAATATGGACATTCATTTGATCCCGCAGGAGGACAATGACGATAACGAGCGAACTTTCGCACTTTCAACGTTCTAACCGCAAGCAATGTAACCTATTTGTTCAACTGGCATATGAGATTGGATTCCTTTCCTGAGGTATGATTTTATAAAAGGTGACTGCATTATCAGTGGCAACTAGTTCATCATTATGGACTTCTGAATCGACCCACCATCAGAATTTTACGAGACAACATACTGATATCGCTGATACAAGTTAAACAGCGACGGCAACCTACATCTACGAAACGGTCTTGCAAGAATTCTTCCAAAATAAGCTTATTGACAATGTCACTAATAAGGACTGTAGACCTGACATTTCAATTTTTTCAAATTATGTATTAGCCTATGGAAAATTTACAAATGCAAAGCAGTATAGAAACGATAGACGTTTCGTTGATAACTGCGATGTGGTGAATGTGAGGCGGCCAGAAGTGATACCCATCTTTGTTGGCCAGATTTGTGATAGGCGCAATGTTGGAATACTGATCGTTATATATATAAAACTGGACGAATCTGTTAAGTTTACCCCCTGGTTGAACAAGGCTGTAAACTCCAGTCGATAATCGTTTCCATTCTGTGATAATCCACCATCGTAGTCCCGACCGTTGGAAATGACGAAGCCGAGATACTTAAATAGGTCAGGCCTCTAGAAGCGCTTCACCTGTCTGTTCAACCAGAATATCAGCTGTGGCAGATGGGTTCCTCATAACTTCCGACTTCTGGGCGCAAAGCAAGATCAGCATTTACAGCTGTGTCACATATGAAGGTCGTCAGATGAAAGAGCCGCTCCCCATTCTGCACACTAGATTGGACTATTATCTGCGTACTCCAGGTCAGAAAGACACCTAGCTG